TACGTCATACGTTGACGTACACGTCAATTTTTAGTCATATAATAAAATGGACACAAAAAAAAACAAAATTTCCGCAAATATCATATTTAGCGCTATTTCTTATTATCATTCATATTTAGCGCTATTTCTTATTATCATATGGTAACATAACAGTAAATTCACTAAATTTTCACTAAGTTCAAAATTCACTAAGTAAATTCACTAAATTTAGTGAATTTACTAAATTTAAAAATGACACGACCAATGATAATAGAATTAAATTAAATTCCGATATTAAATTAAATTCTAATATTAAAATAAATTCTGATTTATCACTTTACGAAGGATGTGTAAATTCGCATACAGTATATTAAGTATATTAATCATTTTTCGCAAGCTGGAAGGGTTAACGTACGTTAAATTACGAATGAAATAAATTTAAAACCTTTTTTTTTTGAAGCAAAATGAAAAAAAAAAATTTCAACTAATCCTATTAAATCATTGAATACAACTGTTGTTTGGTGCAAAGAAGAAAATTTCAAACAAAGATTTTAAAAAATTTATTCTCAAGAAATTTTCTCTTTTTTTTTGTTTCTTTTTCCCTCTCTCTCCTTCTCTTTCTTTCCCTCTCTTTCTCACTCATTTCAAGGAAATAAGTTCATTTTTTAAAAGATACAAGAAAAAACGGGGGAAAAAACAGGACCTCCGAAGTAAATGACTGAGAAAATAATTATTTTTTTGATGAATCGAAAAAAAAGTAATTCAAGAAAAAATATCATTTCCCATTTTTTCCTTATCATTCTCTCTTTTTTCTCTTTCCCTTTCTCTCCCTCTCTCTCTCTTTCTCTCCCTCTCTTTTCGTTGTAAATTTAAGTAATATAATAAATTTAACATAAAAGCAAATAAATTTGATGGATTTTAGAATATTGCTTCTTTTGTCCTGTTTTTTTTTTTTTTTTTTTGTGAAAAATTTATTTGCTTCGTTTATTTTATTTTTTAATCTTAATTCTTTATTTTTGAAATGTTCTTGTTTTATTTGTTTTTTTCAGCTTCCAAAATGTTTCGCTTTGTTTTAATTTTTATTTTTGCATTTTCTTTTTTTTTGCTGTCATTTTTGATTAAAATTTAAATTGAGAATTTTAATAGAAATATTAAAGAACAAAATGAATGAAAAAAGAAAAACATCAAACAAACGAAATGAAAAAAATGATTATTTGAACTATTTTAAAAAATTATTTGCAGATTTAAATCTGATATAATAAAAAAGGGCGAGAAAGAAGGGAGGGGTAGGGATAGAGAGAAAGAGAAAGAGGGAGAGGTAGGCAAAAAACAAGAAAGAAAATCCATTTAAAAAAAGGAAAATGATTTTTGATATTAATTTTAATTTCTTTAAATAATTTTAAATAATAGTTTATGATATGGAAATTATTTAAAAATTAAAATTTTTAATACACTGCAAGAGTCGTGTTAGAAAAAGGGGAAGGTAAGGAAAGCTAGAAAGAGTGAGAGAAAAGGCGAGAGAGAAAGGGTTAGAAAAATTTTGTATTATTAAACTTATCATCAAATAACAGTATATGATTTCAGAAATTATTTAAAAATTTAATTTAATATTTTAAAAAAATGAAACGAAGGAAAAGAGAGAAAAGGAGGAGGAAAAAGCAAAGAAAAGAAAGAAAATAAAGAAAAGGGTGGAAAAAAGAGAAAGATTAATGAGCGGATTACTTAAAAGTGGTAAGAAAAGAAAATTAAGCCTGTCCAATAGCGCCACATTTACAGCCCAATTTTCCTCATCGTTCATATTTTTCCCATACATATATATATATATATATATATATATATATATATATATATATATATATATATAGTAGTAGTAAG